CATCTGGTACTTTGTAGGGGAGGTTTTAAATCTCAGATTCAATCTATTTAAGGCTATGGATTGTTCAGATTTTCCTTTTTTTTTCTTGAGTCAAATTTGGTAAGGTTCCCTCACCCCCACCACCAGCCCCAGGAATCTATTTCATTTAGTTTTAAATTTTCTTGGCATAAATCTAAATTGTTCATAATACACTCTATTTAATCTCTGTAGTAGTTATAGGTATATCCCTTTTTCTGTTCCTAAAATCATTTAATGGCAACTTCCTTTCTTTCCTTTTTTGAATAATTTTGCCAGAGGCTTATCAGCCTTCTGAAACATCAGCTTTGGTTTATTTGGTCTTCTCTTTTGTGTTTCTTTATTTCATTAATGTCTGCCTTTCATGTCCTACTTTCTATTGGTTTATTATATTGTTAGTTCTTGAACTTCTGATGTTGGATGCTTAACTCATTCTTTTTGAGATTTTTAAATTCTTTTAAATACTTAAAATTCTTTAGCTGTCTTCCTCATTTTGATTAGCAGTATTTTGTTATTTTATAATCCCAATATTTCATACTTTCCACTATTATTTCTTATTTGACCCATATGTTTGGGAAAATATTATAAATTTCTATGTTATTTTTATGGTTAGGTATCTGTTATTAATTTCTGACTAATTGTGTTATACTCAGAATGTGGTTTATCTTTGTTGCCAGTCCTTTGGAATATGTTGAGGCTGGCTTTCAGGACTAGCATGTGATCAGTTTTCATAAATGTACCTTAGTTCTTTTTTTAAAAAAAAATTTTATTTATTTAATATTAGAGCATACATACAAGCATGGGGGGAGGGCAGGCAAAGGGAGAGGGAGAAGCAGGCTCCCTGATGTGGGGCTTTGTCCCAGGACCCTGGGATTATGACCTGAGTGCAAGGCAGTTGCTTAAGCAACTAAGCCACCCAGGTGCCCATATACCTTTCTTTTTATAAAGAATATATATTCTAATGATCAGGTGAAGTGTTTTATATATACCTATTTTATCAATCTTGCTGATTGTTTGGTTCAAATCTCTTATATCCTTCTTGATTATTTTATTTCCTATTCTATCAGTGACTATAAACAGGCATTAAAAACTCCTACTCTGACTAGATTTGTTAGTTTCTCCCTGTGGTCCTGTCAGTTTTTACTTTAATCTATTTTAAGCTATCTTTTAATGTATATATGACTTTAGAATTATTTTACCTGAATGTTTTATTATTTTGTAATGATCCCCTCACTCTGTAGTAGTATTACTTGCCTTAATCTGTTTTCTCAATACATCTACCAGTGTTCTTTTGATTAATGTTTGCATGGTATACCTTTTTCTATCTTCTGATGGTAATTTTGTGTATCTTTGTATTTTAGATGTGTGTGTTATAACCTGAAAATAACTGGATTTTGTTTCTGTCTAATCTGACACTCTGTGTATTTTATCTGAAGAGTTTATTTAGCCAATTTATACTTAATGTGATTCTGATATACTATTTTGACCAGATGTGGGTTTTTTGTTGTTGTTGTTTTGTGTTTTGTTTTTGTTTTGAGAGAAAGAAGGGGAGCAGGGGTGGGGTGGAGGAGGGGCAGAGGGAGAGAGAGAGAATCTTAAGCAGGTGCCATGCCCAGTGTGGAGCCTGATGTGAGGCTCCAGTTCACCACCTGAGATCCTGACCTGAGCTGAAATGGAGAGTTGGTTGCTTAACTGACTGAGCCACCCAAGCTTCCCCAGATATGTTTTATATTTGCCTCTCTCTGTTTCTCTTCCTCCTCCTTCTCAACTTTCTCATTTCAAGTATTGTTTAAGGGGGTTTTTGTTCTCTTTACACTTTTTTTGTCTTTGTGTAGAAATTATGATTTATTTCTAACCATGTAGTAACTACTCTACTTCAACATGAATACTTGGCAAAGTTCAAAGGTAATAGTTTTCTTTCTTCCCAGAGAGTTCAAGTACTTTAGAAAAGTTCAAATCCAGTCACCCCTTTCCCTAGGTAGTCTTACCCTGTTTCCCTCCCCTTAAATTAAACATTTAAAAAAAAAAAAAAAGTTTAGCCCTTTTTATGGTCTAAATTTACCCACACATTTATCGATATCTTGTCATACTGTTTCTTATCACATCTCAGATCTTTAATTGCAGATCATCTTTCTTTTGTCTGAAATAACACAGCTATTAGAATTTCTTTAAATGAGGGTTATTGGCCAACTGTCTCAACTTTGGTTTGCCTGAAAATTTATTTTACCTTGGTTCTTAAAATATATATATATATATATTTTTTTAAAGATTTTATTTATTTATTTGACAGAGATAGAGGAAGCACAAGCAGGGGGAGCAGCAGAGGGAGAGGAGAAGCAGGCTTCCCACTGAGCAGGGAGCCTGATGTGGGGCTCCATCCCAGGACCCTGGGATCATGACCTGAGCCGATGGCAAACACTTAACTGACTCAGCCACCCAGTTGCCCCTAAAATATATTCTTTTACTGGGTATAGAATTACAGGGTGACAGTTATTTTCATTAAACACATTGGCTAATCCTTGGTTGTTCCTAATGGGAATTCAGTTATTAGTTGCCATTTGTTTGAAGGTGATTTGGTTTTTATCAGGCAGTTTTTAAGAATATATATTTTTCTTTGATGTTCTGTTGTTTTACTGATGTGTCTTGGTATGGATTTCTGTTTATGTATGCTTAGAACTTGTTAGGACTTCCTAGATCTCAAGGATTGATGATGTTCAGTTTTGCAAAATTCTCACCCTTTGTCTCTTCAAATATTGCCTCTTTCTCATTCTCTCTATTACATGTTAATGAACTTCTGATTAGACTAAGTTCTTCTCTTTCTTCATGTCTCTTAACTTCTTTTTTGTATATTCCATCTCTCTGGGCCGTATTTCCAGATTACTCGGTTAACTAATTTTCTTTTTTAGGGTCATCTTGACAGAACAATTTTAGTGGGATGATGGGTTCAGAAGCCAGATTTATCTGAATTGATGAGAAAATGACAGATGAAACAGTGGAGACATTCACTATAGTTAGAATGGAAGTTTTGTTGTGAAGAGAGCCAAGAAATAGAATGAGTTAAGGGAGGGTTTATTTGTTTTAAAGGTGAGTGATATTAAAGCATATTTGGATATCTATAGGAATGATCTAGTAGAGAAGGAAAACTTGATGATGTAGAAAAGAGGGGATAATTTAAGAATGAAATGTCTCAGAAAACAAGGATCTAAGTCCAAATTTTTCAATTCTTTGATTCATTTCTTTTGTACCACCCCATTTAAAGATTAGTGAAAGAGGTTGTTGTTGTTGTTGTTGTTGTTGTTGTTTTTAAATCAGGCTGAGATGAGCCTGCTGTCAGTTTAACAAGTATTATTCATGTATCCATTCACTCAATCAATCAACAAACATTACATTTGCCTTTTATGTGTAGTTACTGTGCTGGGCTCTGGGAACAGAATTAGAACAAGATAAACATGACCCCTGCACTCACAAAGCTATGAGTTAGTGGTAGTAAGTGGATATGATACAGACAAAGGACTTGGAAGGGCAAATAGAGTACTGTAGGAGAGCATTTAATAGGAACCTTAATCCTTTACCCTTATTCTAGGAGATTACAGAAGCAACATTTTTAAACTGATTTCCAAAGAATGAGGAGTTAACCAGGCAAATTCTGGGAGAGCATGTCAAGAAGAGAGAAGTGGACAGATAAAGGCCCTGTTGCAGCAAGGAATTTGCAGAAATTTAGCAACTGAAAGAAGACTAGAGCATAGTGAATGAAAGGCAAGATGAGATTTGGGAGGGTAGCAGATGCTGTACCATACAGAATCAGAAGAATTGTAGACTATCCTGGGAGCAGCTGGGAAGCACTGAAAGGACTTAATAGTGACAGAATCTATTTTTGTAATATTTCTGTTGTAAAAGTGTGTGCATGAGGCTGCTGGAGCCTGATGCCGTTAAACCTTAGAATCATATGGTTACTACACTCCTTCTTACAATTATTTGCTTACTTATCCATCTAGTATGGCTTCTACAACCAGACATGGATGCAGCTTTCCTTTGAATTAACAGAATGATTTTCTGCTCTGTGTGTGTGTGTGTGTGTGTGTGTGTTTGAGAGGGATAGTGGTAGAAGTCGGATACTTGGCAGTCAAGATACTATCTTTTAAAATTTAACAAACCAATGAGAAAATAATATTTAGCATATAAATAATATATGCATCATATAGCGCTAAAAATTCTTAAACTACTATTTTTAAAACTAGCTTTTTTGAATTATTTTACAGACTAATAAATTTGGGGATTTGTATAAGGATTTGTTTTAATCCCTAAGTTTTTAGACTTAATATAAATAAGATTGTTTCCTATTCTTTTTTCTCTTTTCATCATAAATGTCAGAATGTACTGTTCTGTTTATGTTATCTGCTTCTTTAGAGATTATTCAGATTCTGAGTTGTCACTTTGACTAGGTAAATTTATCTTGATCCTTAGAGTCTGTATTTAATGAATACCTAACACTATGCCTTGCACATAGTAGGCACTCAAAAAATACGTTCAGTAAATCAAAATATCTGATATAGTGCTCTTAATATACCTTATAAAAACTTCCTTTCTTAATTCCTTCCTTTCACCCAAAACATATTGTCCTTTTTTGATATTCCTTTTCTTCCTGACTTTTTAGTCTTTGGTGTTCTGCTCTGAATGTTATTATTTTGCTATTGTCCCTTACTCAGAATCCCTTTTTTAAGGTTTAATTGCCCTGAGTCTTTTCCTTGAGACTCATATACTTGCTATTTTGTATTCTAGACCTTTCTTTTTTGCCACTTGTTCTTAGAAGATGTCTTTTTTCCCTTCTTTTCTGATCTATCTTAATTTAAATTGAAAAACCCATCTTGAAGCCTGTTTATATTTTTCTATTTTGCAGCATCTTAATTGCAGTTTTCCCATCCTGAGGAACTATTTAATTGTTATTGTGTAATTGATAAACATAATTTTATGTATTCTGTTTTTAGTCTATTGAAGACAATGAAGTATATTTGCCTAATGATGAAATTTGGACCTATGATATTGATAGTGGGTTGTGGTAAGTAATTTTCAATTGCAGAATGTCCAATCTTAATATCGTTTTAAATATTTTCATAGACTACAGGGAAATTAAGACCAAACTTAGAACATACTGCAACATTTATTGTCTCCCTTTCTTTTTCTTTGAATGCTTTATTCTCTCTGGTTCTTTCCTTCCCTTGCTCCTTTCCTCTCTTTGCTCTTTGCCATTTGCCATTCCTCTCAAGGCTGAGGCTGCCCCAGAAGGCTTTGCTTTGTTCTACGAATTAATTCCCAATTCTAGTGATACGAGAAGATTCTGCAGTTTTTCTTCCAATAGGCTGAAGAATCTTTAACATGGATCTTAGAGTTTTTACAGTATTGGCTACCATGGCATTTCAATTGTAATTGTCAGTGACAGTTGTCATTGAAAGAGTATTCATGGAGTTCAAAGGGAATTTTTAATTTGCCTTTCTAAAAAGTCATGGAATTCCATGTTATTCTTGCTGCAGGACCATGCACCTCATGGAAGGAGAACTCCCTGCCTCCATGTCAGGAAGTTGTGGTGCTTGCATTAATGGAAAGCTGTACGTTTTTGGAGGATATGATGACAAAGGATACAGCAATCGAGTAATACTTTCTTTCAATTCAGGAATGCAGCAAAATGTAATATTTAGTGTGTCACTTAATCTCACAAGTTTCCACATATTTAAAAAGATAAAAATAGAAAATCTTGAGCTTACAGGGTTTTAAAAATAGAGTGAATATGCAGCCATTGCGTTCTTCTCTTCTTCCATGTCTTTCTGCTTCGTAGTTAGCTCCACGCTTAGTTGGTGTCTTATAGGGCAGAGCATGATGGGACAGGATCCATTTCAGGATGTCTTACATGTCATTTTTGCTTCTAAAACACAGTCTCATTTTTATTAACTTTACAATGAAAAATCTTACTTTTAAAGAGAAAAGAGTAATATTATTAATTCTTGGATCACACATCCCTCAGACACAGACTTAATTTTTAAATGCCCTTTCTGCTAATGGTGTTCTCCTCTTTTAAAAGCTTTATTTTGTTAATTTGCGAACAAGAGATGGAACCTACGTTTGGGAAAAAATCACCAGTTTTGAAGGACAACCACCCACACCACGTGATAAACTTTCTTGCTGGGTATATAAAGACAGGTAATGCAGCAAAATCATCTCGTTAACTACACTTAAGTAAGGGTTATCGCTAGTGGCCGAAATAGAGAAAACTTGAAAGTCCGGATTTTTTTTCAAGGTATAATTACAAACTTGTTTTGACCCTGTTGGTAATGGCAGTTCCGCCTCCTGGATAAGAGCCACGTCATAAAGATAAGCATCGTGAAAGCAACTATTTGATTTTTTAAATAAACTTATCATTTAATTAAACTTCCTGAATAGTTAACACATTCACATGGTTCAAAAATTGAAACCGTATTAAAAAGTCGGTAGTGAAAGTTCTGGCTCCCACCCCTATCCCCCTCCACTCTGTTCCCTTCCACCATGCACAAATAATCTTGTATTCTTAGAATAGTGTTTCCCAAACTGGTCTGCCATTGGAATCACCTGGGGATTTTTTTTAAATTCCAAAGCCTAGGTGATACCTCATACCAATTAAATGGTCATCTCTGGGGTTATGATATTTTGAAACTCCTCAGGTGTGTCCAGGATGCAGATAGTTTGGAAACCACTGCCATCAGTGTTACCTTATGCAAATAGAAGCAAATACGTAGGAGCGTATGCATGTATCCCTTTTTTCTCTCTCTTCCTTACACAAATGGCCGTGTAGTCTGTACATTCTTCTGCACCCTGCTGCTTCCATTAGTTAACGGTATACCATGGAGATCTTCATCTTTCTGTATCCCGAGTGAGAAAGCTGATTTCCTTCCTTCCTTCCTTCCTCCCTCCCTTCCTTCTCTTTCTCTTTTCTTTCCTTTCTTTCTTTTAATAGCTGCATAGTATTCCCCTTTGAGGATATACCATAGTTTATTTGACCTTTCCCCTATAAACAAAATAATACTTATTTCAGTTCCTTTGCTATTACAAATTATGCTTTAATGACTATCTGTGTGTGTTTGTGTATGAATGATTGCAGATCTATCCATTGGATAAAATGAGATTGCATTTATAACTTTGGCAAATGTTTAGTTTGCTAAGGCTGTTGTAACAAAGTTCCATAAACTAAGTGGCTTAAACAACAGAAATGTGCTTTCTCATGTTTCTAGAAACTGGAGGTCCAAGATTAAAATGTCAGCATAATTGACTCCTTCTCTAGGTTTAGAGGAAACATCTATCCCATGCCTGTCCCCTAACTTAGGTGGATTTGCTGGCAATCTTTGATGTTCTTGAGCATGTAGAGGCATCACTCTGACCTCCGCCTTTATGTTCACAGTGTTTGCTCTGTGTATGTGTGTCTGTCTCCAGTTTGTCCTTTATGTAAGGACACCAGTCATACTGGATTAGGGCCTCCCCTAAGGACCTCATTTTAACTTGATCGCTTCTGTAAAGAACCTGTCTCCAAATAAGTTCACATTCTGAGATCCTGGGGATTAGGACTTCAACATATGAAAGGAGAACACAAACCTATAGCAATAGATTCTGCCAATTTTTCCTCCTTAGAAGTGGGGCCATTTTGCATTCTCAACAATGGAATGCTGTTTCTCCATAGTCTTGCCAAGAGTTTGGGGGCAAACTCCAATTGTTTGTTTTTTTGCCAGACTGACAGATGAGAAATATCTCAGTCTTGTTTCTTCATTTTCACTGAAAAATATTTTTTGTAGGTGTGAATGTATTTTCATATGTTTAAGGACAATTTTTATTTCTTTTTCTCTGTACTGTTTGTATCCTTGCTAATTATTTCCTATTTGAGTTTTCCTTTTTATAAACTTGATTTCTAGGAGTTATTTATATATTAAGGAAATTAGTGTTTGACCATGATACGACATGACAATATTTTTCCAATTTGTCATTTGTCTTTTGAGTTTACTTAATGTGTTCTGCATGCATTAAACAGATTTTTAAAACTTATTAGATAAATTTATCAGTAATTTCCTTTTTTATCTTTATCTTTTGTGGCTTCCTGATCTTGAAATCTTGATTAAAAGGTTATACATTAATTTACCTATATATTTTCCTCTAGTACTTTTATCATTTTATTTTTTTATTTTTTAAATTTAAATTAAATTAAGTAACATATAATGTATTATTTGTTTCACGGGTACAATTCTGTGATTTATCAGTCTTATACCCAGTGCTCATTGTAACCCATATCCTCCCCGATGTCCATCACCCATTTACCCCAGCCCTCAACCCCTTTTTTCTTATTTTTTACATTTAAATTGTAGATTCATTTGGAACTTAGTCTGTGAATAGTTATGAGATATGGATCCAGGTTTATCTTTTTTTGAATGGCTACCTGTCTGTAACTCAGTTATTTCCTTACTTTTATCATATATTCACCTAATTTTCACTGGTATTTTGATCTGAGTTTTCTATTCTATTACATTGATTGGTTAATGTACAAATACTTCACTAGTGTAGATATTGAAGCTTTACAGAACATTCTTATAGGATGACTGTAAATCATGAATGTATACCTTAAATAATTATCACAAGATGAACTCACATAACTAGCCCCCAAGTAAAGAAACAAGATCATCAATATTCTAGAATCCTTCATTATGTTCACTCATAATCACTATGCTTATCCTCCTTGCTGAAGTAAACCATTATCTTGACTTTTAGTATCCTAAATTAGTTATTTTTTAATTTTTCATATTAGATATGGCATCCTATAGAATTTATCCTTTTACCGAAATTATATTTTTGAGAGTCATTCATGATGTCATATGTACCTATGGTTTGTTTTCTTTCCTGTATATTATTCTATTTCATGAAATACTACAAAATATTTATTCATGCTACTGTTGATAAACATTTGGGGCGTTTCTACTTTTTGACTCTTCAGAATAACACAACTATGAACATTCTTCTATGTATTTTGGTACATAAGGGTAAATATTTCTATTGGGTATGTATCTCTTCATTTTCTCAATAATGTAATCTGATTTCAGTATAGTCTAATTTACCAATCTTTTCTTTATGATGAGTGCTTTTGTGTCTTAGACTTAGTTGATCCCAACTCTACAAAGTATTTTTGATCTTTTGAAGTTTTTCTTGTTCATATATACAAGAAATGGGAAACAGTATTTGCCCTAGATAGGGAGACTGAGTGAAAGTAGGAGAGAGACTTACTTTTTACTACACCTTTATCATGACATGATAAAGTCATGATAAAATATATATAACATAAAATTTGCCATTTTAACCATATTTAAACGTCTAATGCAGTGGCATTAATTACAGTCACAATTTTGTGCAACCATCGACATTATTTAGTTCCCAAATTTATCATCACTCCCAACAGGGACTCTATACCCATTAAGTAATACTTCCCCATTCCCCCTTCTCCCCAGGCTCTGGTAACTTCTAATCTACTTTCTATCTCCATGAATTTGCCTATTATGGATATTTCATAGAAGTGGAATCATTCAATATTTGTTCTTTGGTGTCTGGCTTATTTCACTTAAAATATTTTCAGAGTTCACTAAGTTGTAGTATGATATCAGAACTTATTCCTTTTTAAGGCTGAATAACATTCCATTATATGCATTGTGTGCATTTATCTGTTCATCTGATGAACACTTGCTTTGTTTCCACCTTTTGGCTGTGGTGAATAATGCTGCTATGAACATTGGCTTTCAAGTATTGTTTGAGTCCCTGTTTTCAATTCTTTTGGATATATACCTAAGAGTAGAATTTCTGGGTCATATGGTAATTCTATGTTTAATTTTTTTAGAAAGCACTGATCTATTTTTCCCCAATGACTGTGCCATATCATATTTCCTCTGGCAATGTACTTGGATTCTAATTTCTCTATGTCCTTGCCAACACTTGTTCTTTTCTTTTTCTTCCTTTCTTTCTTTCTTTCTTCTTTTTTAAAAATAATAGCTATCCTAATGGGTGTGAAGTGGTGTTCATTGTGGTTTTGATTTGTATTTCCCCAGGGACTAATGGTTTGACCATTTTTCATATGCTTATTAGCCATTTGTAGATCTTCTTTGGAGAAATGTCTATTTAAGTCCTTTGCCCATTTTTAAAAATCGGTTTGTCTTTTTGTTATTGAGTTATAGGAGTTCTTTACTTATTCTGGATATTAATCTCTTACCAGACATAGGCAGGGTTTTTTTGTTCTAATGTTTTGGGTTGGCTGGCCTCATAGAGTGAGTAAGTGTTCTTTTCTCTTCATTTTTTCTGGGGGGAAGACTTTGAGAAGGTTGGTATTGATTATTCTGTAAATGTTTGGTATAGTTCACCACTGAAACTATCTGGCCTTGAGCTTGTCTTTTTTGGGAGATTTTTTGACTACTGACTCAATTATATACATTTATTCAGTTTTTCTATTTCTTCATAAGCCATTTTTTATAGTATCTTTTCAGAAACGATTCTGTTTTATCTAACTTATCCAATCTGTTGACATAGTTTTTGTAGTATTCTCTTGTAATCCTTTTAATTTCTGTAATGTTGATAGTAATGTCCCTTCTTGTAATTTCCAGTGTTAGTGCTTTGAGTCTTCTCTTCTTTTCTCTTTGTCAACCTAGCCAAAGATTTGTCAATTTCGTTGTTCTTTTCAAAGAACCAACTTTTGGTTTGTTGTTTTTCTCTATTTTTCTATTCACTGTTTTGCTTATTCTCCTTTATTTTTCATGATTTCCTTCCTCTTGTTATCTTTGGGTTTAGTTTGCTCTTCTCTTTCTAATTCCTTAGTGTGTACAGTTATGTTATTGATTTGAGATGTTTTTAAAAAAAATATGTAGGCATTTACAGCTATAAAATTCCCTCTGAGCACCACCTTCACTACATACCATAAGTTTTGTTTTATTGTATTTTCATTTTTATTCATTTCTAGGTAATTTTTAATTTCTCTTGTGATTTTTTTTCTTCCACCCATTGGTTGACATTTTTTTTTTTCTTTCAGCACTTTAAAGATTTTATTACATTGCTTTTGGCCTCCATTTTTCTCGTGAGAAATTCACTCTCATTTGTGTTTTTGTTCCCCCATATATGTCTTTTTTTTCCTCTGGCTTTTCTTTATCTGTTTTTTAAATTTTTGCTCCTCACTGATTGAAAGGTTCCTATTTGTAGTTTCCCTTGTATTTATCCTTCTTAGAGTGCACTGAGCTTTTTGGGTTGGTGGGTTTACATCTTTCATCAGTTTTAGGAAGCTCTTAGTAATTATCAAACATTTCTCCTAAACGTTTATTTGTCTCTTCTCCTTCTGGGATTCCTGTTATATGACAGAGGACGATTTCGTATTGCTCCACAGAGCCTGGGCTCCTTGGATTCCCGCCCCCACCCCCATCTCTTTTCTTCTCTTTAATTTGGATACTTTTTTTTTTTTAAGATTTTATTTATTTATTTGTCAGAGAGAGAGAGAGCACAAGCAAGGGGGGAGCACAGGCAGAGGGAAAAGCAGACTCCCCACCAAGCATGGAGCCCCATGCGGGGACTGGAGCCCCATGTGGAACTTGATCCCTGGACCCTGGGATCATGACCCAAGCCAAAGGCAGCAACTTAACCAACTGAGCCACCCAGATGTCCCTTGGATACTTTTTATTAGCCTCTTGACCTGTCTTCAAGTTCACTGATCTTTCCATTGCTATGTCCAGTCTCCTGTGAAGCCTATTTAATCAATTCTTTATTTCTGACATCTTTTTTTCAATTTAGCATTTCCACTTTAGCAGTTCTTTTTCATGGTTCCACATCTCTACTGAAATTGCTCTGTTGTTCTTGCATGTTGTCCACCTCTTACAAACTATATCTGTTGGCATCTTTATCATAGTTATTGTAAATGCCATGTCTGATCATTCCACTATCTGGGCCACCTTGGGATCAGCTTATATTGACCCCTCTCTTGATCATCGGTCTCTTTCTTTCTTTCTTTCTTTCTTTCTTTTTTTTTTTTTTTTGCCTTTTCATGTATCTTGTAATTTTTTTCACCACATTCCAGACATTCTCTATGAAAGAATAATAAGGTTTAGGAAAAATATTTCTTTCCAGAAAAGGACATGGCCTTTCTGTTTTTCTTAGGCTGCTAGAGTGAGTGGTAGTTCAGTCAGTCTCATTCATAGTTGATTTGTGTTTGGAATTGTTGAAACTGTTACAACTGTTGTACAATTGCCTTCAAATATTTTGAGGCAAGATCATGACTCTCCTTTGAGCACTGCAGATTGCCTAAAGAAGTTCAGCTGTACTTCACACTGTTCCCTCCCTCAGAACTCTGGAAGATCTCTCCTTGTTTCATAGCCTCATTGGGAGGTCTTTGGGTCACCAGGAAGTTCTCTTTGCTCTCCAATCCCACCTTTTGCTTTCTGTACCTTGGGAGATCTTTTTCTGCCTTGTACCTCCTCCCTTGGTCTTTTGAGGGCAGCCATCCTGTGTGCTATAATGACTTAGTATGCTTCTGATGTATTTCCTTCAGATCTCCTGATCTGGGTGGTTTCTTTTACGAACTCTACCTGTCCTGGATTCTTTTTCCTCTTGCTCTTATACCAGGAATGAGAGTAGGTACACACGGGTCTTTTCCCTTTTATTGACAGTTCATCGCTTTCTGGAATAGTTCATTTAGACTTCTTTGTTCCCTTCTCTCTTTGATTTTTTTTTTAACTATGGTTTTTTAGTTTACTTGGCTAGTTTAGGTTATTAGGGTGAAAGAGAGGATCTCTTTCAACTTTTGATGAACAGACTGGAAGTAGAATTCTAAAGTGTGTTCTTTTGTATTTGTTTTTCAGATTAATATATTTTGGTGGCTATGGGTGTAGGAGACACAATGAACTCCAAGACTGTTTTGATGTTCATGATGCATCTTGGGTAATCACTGTTTACATTTTCCTCTAATTTAGTATCACTTTAAAGTCTTTAGAAATAATGAGTCCAGTCTTTTTCAATTTAACTTGCCACAATTGACACTATGAGAAAGATGTGTTTTCTCTTTTTTGGATTTAGATTCAGTTGGAGGAGTTTCTCTCATCTTCTCTCACCTAGTGGTATTAGCCTTCATGGCTACCGGGAGAGTAATTTCTTACTTTATTAATCACTTATACCTGTTTCTGTTAGACAAGTAGAGATTTTAGCACAACTTGGAAAAACTTTGCTCACAGATAACCAGAACGGCTGTTGTTGAAATACATCTCCTTTTAGGTGTGTCCACCAGAACTATTCATAGCTCAGGCTGACCTCTGTTTGACAGTGAGTAAGTTGGTAGTGATATTACCTTTCCTACTTATTCTTACTGGTTAGAGAATAAACTGTTACTAATGAAATAAGACATGACATGAAAATGAAACCCTTTAAAAGACAACTTTAGAAACCATTGATCCCAGCATCAACAAATATAGTAGCTCTTTGCTTTTACCTTTTACTAGCATATATTATTATTGTACATTATAATGTAAATCTATATGTACATTTCATATATATCTTTTTGTATATGGGTATTTAAAAAGATCTCTGTATTTACAAGGTTTTTGAGTTTTTAAAATAAAATATCTTTAAAGTTTTGTTACTAATACTCTGGTTTCTCTTCAGATTGCATAAATCTTTTGCCTCTTAAAATTTTGTTACTTACAGTATTACTGATAATTTTCAAAAATATAAATTCCCATTACTTTGATCTACGTATTTTTACTCATTTTTTTTCTCTCCTAGTACCATTAGGCTAAGAACCATGTAGTTTTGGGTGTACAAGTAGATTGCATTTATATTTTAATTTAAGTAAATTGTTTAGTGTGTTTAAATTGTTTGACAAGTTCTGACAAAAATGAATGATGTATTTCTGGCATAGAACATAAAACTGACACAGAGGCAAGCTAAAGCAGGAATAGAGGATTTCAACAACCCAGAGATGATAAATATAGTGTAATTGCTAAATATTTGCCCTGCTGACAATTTTGTCTCTTAGAAGACAAACAAGAGGGTAAGCCCAAGTTTCACCTATAAGAACAAATTGCTTGGTTAAGTAGAAGTGATTGGAACTTTTTGGAAAAAGGAACCATGGTCCACTGAAGTTCCTAATTGTAAAGATTAGGAATTCTGAGCATGTACTCTAGGAACACAGAGTGCAAAATATAAATGTCATTCTGTCCTCTGCAACTTTAAAAGAGATTATTCTTTGAGAGGAATGGAAGATTATCAACAAGTAAAGTTATGACTCACTGCAAGCAATGCTATGAGAAGACAAGTTGCCAGGTGACTGCTGCGACTAGTCCGGAGGCCACACTTTATGAGTCATGGGTGTGTGCTTTAGCTTTATGACTGTGGTAACACTTAACCTCTATTTTTATAATGGTATTTATTATTTCACCAGTAAATATGCAATGAAATTTGTTACAATAACCTAAAGTTCACAAAAGCTTTGAAATATTTTAAAAATTCCTGTTTTAGGAAGAACAGATATTCTGGGGATGGCATAATGATGTTCATGTATTTGATACAAAGACACAGAATTGGTTTCAACCAGAAATTAAAGTAAGTATTGTAAAAATTACCTTTGTATTTGTATATTCATTGATACCTTAAAAGAATATTTTTTGCTAAGTTATTTGGATTTTAGCAATTGAGTTTATAATCATAAAACCCCTTAAGTGCCATCACTAATACTCTTTTTTTTTTTTAAATCACCTATTTTTTTCCAGGTTAGCTAAGGTTGTCTAGAAAAATCTTCCAAAGTGGGTACCATCATTGTCCTTTACCCACAAGTATGATGTAATGATGGCACTTTTAAAATATCCTTTTAGGGCACCTGGGTGGCTCAATCAGTTAAGTGTCTGCCTTTGACTCAGGTCAAGATCTCTGGATCCTGGGATAGAGTCCCTGCTCAGGGGGGAGTCTGCTTCTCCCCTGCCTCTCCCCCCGCCCCCACTCATGTACACGGGCTCTCTCGCTCTCTCCGCCACTCTTTCTCTCTCAAAAATGAATAAATAAAATCTTTTTTTTTTAAATCCTTTTACAGTCAAGTCCATAATTTTGAAAAGCCCATATTTCATACTCTTGAAATCTACATACAATTAAAGCATGACAAAAATACATTATTATTCTCTTTCATGAACTAGTGAGCAAACCCAAATTCAACTTAGCTTAAGCCATAATGAATTTTTACATAGAGGGAAGGTATATTTTGGAGTGGCTCACATAGTGGAAGAGCCGCAGGGACTAGGGCCTCAGGAGCTAGAGGAAGTTACTCCACACCATCACAACATTTTCCATAGCTCTTCGTCAACTTCTCTTTGCTTCTCTTTGTGTTCTAGCTTCATTCTGTCTACTGCAGACCAGCCAGCTCATTTAGGAGGGAACGTGGTCCTGGCTATCCAGGCAGTCCTTTCCACTGGTGCTTTTTCTTTCAAGGTCTATAAATTAGTCTTAGAAGAGGACTCTGCATATTTGGGCAGGTTCCCACTCTTTACATTGGTCCCTGTTCCCAAAGAGATGACAGGCTAGGCCCGTGTCTCGGGCTTACCCTAGGGGAGCAGAGGATTGTAGGTAATAGGTCACCAGAACTGCGCCAAATGGAGTGCTAAACGGACAAAACCAAAACTGTCCACAAATAGGCACAAATGACATACATCCATTTGAATTTTAAGATTTATGTCTTTTGTTAATGAAATAAAAGCATTTTATCTCTATTCAGATAATCTTATGTCAGCAAGCAGGTGCCAAGAAACAGTGTTGAGACTGTATCTACTGAAACTCATCCTGGATCTCTCTCGGGCATCTGTTGCCTCTACTTCTTTACAGAAAAACCAGGAGTCTGCAGCTCTTGAAGGCATATTTGTAGTATGTGCTCCTCTCAGGGTACCAGCCTGGCCCATTCAGTGGAGCATGCAACTCTTGTCCTCAAGGTTGTGAGTTCATGTTCCATATTGGGCTGGAGCCTACTTTAAAAAATAATAATAATAAAAAAAGTAGAATGTGCTCCTGAGGAAAAGGGAGCTCAGGTAGCTTGTAACTAGTTCTTAGGCTCCTTCTTTCTCTTCTTACCTCGGTCTATAGCTTTCTCCAACATTTTTACACACACCTAACCCTATTTTAGTTCATATTTACCAAGTTTTTCAGTGTAATTTCTCTGACGATTTCTTCAAATGAGTTCTCATATTGTTTATATTTTATTGAAAATTCTCACATGGCTGTGCCTGGATGTCTCTTCATTTTTTAGAGACATTCTTAAAATACTTCATTATTCCCAATATTAGGATCAAAAGACAAGGCAGCATGGAAGGGTGTACCAATTATTGGTGTCAAAGTTAAAAGAAATTCGGTTTGCATTCTAATTCTGTCCTATAAGAGCTGTATACTTTAGATAAGCCATTTAGTGTGTCATCTATAAAATGGAAAGGTTGAAAGTGTTTTTTCTATATGGGATTTTTACCCCTTAAGAGCAATATACTAGTAATAGATATCTTCGAGTTGTTTTCATTATTTCAAGCAACTTAATAAGCATTGTGCGTTACTTAGGCAATTAGACACACAGATTAATGTAAATGCCATTTCTTTGTTTTTGTTTTTGTTTTTTTTAATTTATTTATTTAACAGACAGAGATCACAAGTAGGCAGAGAGGCAGGCAGAGAGAGAGGGGGAAGCAGGCTCCCTGCCCAGCAGAGAGCCCGACGTGGGGCTCGATCCTAGGACCCTGGGATCACCATTTCTTTGTTTTTGTTTAGAATTACATGAACTCAGTTTATTCAGAAGCTTTAGATGGCTAATAAATGCACTTGACAGAAGTTTGGTATTTATTTCATAATCAATGTGTATATAGTAGAATAATTTTTCCAAAATTTCAGATCAGGAATGGGGTAATAATAATGATTGTGTTTTGCTGGAATGACTGAAACCACATTTCAAAAGGTTCTTTCTCACTTATATAAGTGTTAAATTGGTAATATCTGAATTATTTCTTCTGGTGTTGGCTTCAGGACAGTCATTCGAGTAAGCCTGAAAAGTCTTGAGAGTTATGATATTGGCTGTAGAGCTTAAATGTCCTATGCCCACATTCAGGAGCCAATGTGCTGAAAATGTTGAAAAAGTTCTTTCAGAACTTGGAATGAAATGCATACACAAAGGCACCCACCCTGAACACATGGAAATTATACAGAAAATTTTTCCTTTAAATTTCATTCATTCATCTACCCATTATATTCTCTCTTTTCCCACCAATCCAAACTTCTCTGGAGAAGAGATTTATATTTATTCAAAGTAAAGTATAGAAAAGTGTTACCAGTTAATGGGAAGAGTTTTAGTAAGTGATAAAGCAATGTTTGGCTTAAGGCAAGAGTGAAGTCCTTATTGTGGAATTTAAGACTCCCAAGAGTTTGAGGGGACGGATGTAATTTCTTAGAGTCTCTGAGATCATTGTGTACTACTCACTCATAATATGAACTTTTGGGGGAGGGGTGTGGGAAGAGAGGGAAGGGGGAAGAGAGAATCGTTTTAATTTGATTTTTAATTCTTTATAGTTCAAGCTGAAATTTACATGAAACTTTATTTTGCTAAATAGTGTCAGGCAGTTAAGAAAAACACTTTAAAAAGTAAAGCTCAGAGTAAATAAGTTCCATTCTTTTTTTTTTTTTTAAGATTTATTTATTGAGAGAGAGCATGCACAAGAGCGGGGGAGGGGCATAGCGAGAGGAAGATGGAGAATCTCAAGCAGACTCCCTGCTGAGCGCCCACGGGAGGCAGGGCTCCATCTCAGGACCCTGAGATCATGACCTCAGCCGAAACCAAGAGGCAGACCCCCCAGTGACTGGGCCACCCCTAAATTTCATTTTTGAAGAATACTGTCTATAATTATTACTACTCAGAATGAAATTTTGCCTTAGGATTTTTATTGAATTACAGTGGTAATGGTGATCTGGTGGTCAGGTATTTCTCATACTGAGCGTAGGAGTGGGACTTCCTTAGACATGTTTCAAGGCTTTGCATTCTGTTTTCTCATTTCTGCTTGCAGGGTGGAGTTCCTCCACAGCCGCGAGCCGCACACACGTGTGCCGTTCTTGGAAATAAGGGCTATATCTTTGGTGGACGTGTTTTGGTTAGTGTTTTCATGGAAATGGTATTTTTATGTGTGATTCTACTTACATAAATTATTTTCTGATTTGGGGGAACAACAGACTATTCAAATTATCTAGATACTAAAATGCTGTTCAGTAACTTTTATTTTCCATCCCCTAAACAGACTATACATGAGTCATCATGGATGATTTATGAATCATAGTTTAGTGAAGAGAATCCTTCACATCAGTGAATAACCAGAAAAGTTTTTAAAATTTCTGACTTTAAATCCTGTTACTTTAAACCCATTTCTCCCTCCACCCCCCCCCATAAATTAATTGGGTAGCTCTAGATTAATTTTATTAACACTTAGCATTTTTTCCCAATATATAAATTTCTGATGTTTGGTAAAATGGAGATGGTCTATTTTTAATCTGAACTTATTTTAAAACCAAAATTTTAGCCCATGAAAGATGTAAAACACAGACTAATTTAACACACTTTTATTTTAGCAAACTAGGATGAATGATTTGCACTATCTGAACTTAGATACCTGGACTTGGTCTGGAAGGTAAGTACGAGATTTAAGTATATTTTAATCAAAAGGCATATGTGTGTGTGTGTGTCTGTCTGTCTGTCTCTCTGTCTTTTGGATCATAATCCAAATCTGAGTCTCTAAAACTGAACTAGTATCTTTTTCCTTCAGATCATATGTCTAAGCAAGGAATATACAGATTTAAATGCAGAGTTTGTTCTTTAACCAAATTAAATAAAACATGAGAATACCAGCAGTTGAAAATTGATTATGTAAAAGTACTGGTTTTGTACTAAGTATTCTTGAGAACTGGTCAGAAGAAGAAATGAAGGAACAGTTTATTGGGGTCATAACAAGTAAACAAAATGAAGTAGGGAAAAGCCAGATTTTAATTGTGGTTCAAAGTATATAATTAACAATAGAATAAATCTATTTACCTATCACTTCAGCTGTTCGTGTAATGAGATGGAATTAGAGCTATATATTATTCTAAAATAGAAATACTATTAAAAATGAAACTGTGAAATGGCCAAAAAAACAATTATAGCAGATTGTCTTTGAAATCTTGCAATTGAGAAAGTTTTTTTAAAAATGGTATAAACCCAGGGTGCTTGGGTGGCTCAGTCCGTTGAGTGTCTGCCTTCCAGTCATGATCTTGCGGTCCTGGGATCAAGTCCTGGGATCAAGGGGAGATTGTGTCTCCCTCTCCTCCTTCTTGTGCTCTCTCTCAAATACATAAATAAAATCTTTATTTTTAAAAATATTTATATTTTTGAGAGGGAGAGAGCACGAACAGTGGGGAGAGGCAGAGAGAGGGAGAAACAGACTCCCCAACAGAATGGGGAGCCCAACATGGGGCTCGATCCCAGGACCCTGAGATCATGATATGAGCTGAAGACAAATGCTTAACTGACTGACCACCAAGGTGCCCTACAAATAAATAAATAAATAAATAAAATCTAAAAAAAAAAAACTTCACCAAAGTTAAAAGGCAAATTGGAAAATACAAACAAAAAACTAAAAGTCATATTTACAGTATTTTTAAAAAGATTTTATTTATTTGCTAGAGAGAGAAAGAGAGAAAGCATGAGTGGGGAGAGGGGCAAAGAGAGGAGAAGCAGGCTCTCTGCTGAGCAGGGAGCCCAGTGTGTGGCTGGATCCCAAGACCCTGAGATCACCACCTGAGCTGAAGGCAGATGAGTAACTGACTGAGCCACCTGGGTGCCCCTGCAGTATATTTTACAGGGCTTAAAGCCATAGGAACTTAGAAAATCAGTAAGAGGGGCTCCTGGGTGGCTCAGTGGGTTAAAGCCTCTGCCTTTGGCTCAGGTCATGATCCCAGGGTCCTGGGATTGAGCCCTGTATCAGGCACTCTGCTCAGCGGGGAGCCTGCTTCCCCCTCTCTCTCTGCCTGCCTCTCTGCCTACTTGTGATCTCTGTCTGTCAAAGAAGTGAATAAAATCTTTAAAAAAATGTTTAAAAAAAAGAAAAGAAAATCAGTGAGAAAAAGACAAACGATCCAACAGAAAAGTGGACAAAGAACATAAATGAGCAACTCATGGGAGAAATACAAATGGGCAAAAGTTATTTTTTTTAAGATTTCATTTATTTATTTGAAAGAGAGAGAAAGAGCATGAATAAGGGGAGGGAGAGGGAGAAGCAGACTCCCCACTGAGCAAGGAGCCTCAAACAGGGCTCAGTCCCAGGACTCTGAGACCATGACCCCAACCAAAGGCAGACACTTAACCAACTGAGCCACCCACATGCCCCCCAAAATTATTTTTAAAAGGTGTTCAACCTTATAGACAATCAAAGAAATGGAACTAAAAATAATAGTTTTCAATTATCAGATAAAAAATAATTACAAATAACAAGGTGTGCTCATTTATAACAAGACTATTAGTGGGAGTATAAATTGGTACAGTTTTTCTGGAAGGTAGTTTGGCAATATATTTAAAATGTAAAATTGGGGGGGCAATATGTTTAAAATGTAAAATAAAATACAAGTATGCAAGCCAGGGATGCCTGCTTGGGTAAGCATCTGCCTTAGGCTCGGGTCATGATTCTGGGGTACTGGGATTGAGCCCCACCTTGTTGGGCTCCCTGCTCTGCGGGGAGCCTGCTTCTCTCTCTCCCTGACACTTCCCCTGCTTGTGCTCTCCCTCTCTCTCTTTGTCTCTGTGTCAGATAAGTAAATAAAATCTTTAAAAAAATAAAACATAAAATGGAATTCCTACTTTGATCTGGAGTTTCTCTAAAGACCGTAATTGGATGCGTGCGCATGTGTGTGTTTGTGTTACAACATTATTGTAAATGCAAGAACTGGGGGTCAGCCCTCATGTTTCCAAGTGGGGATTGTTTAAATTATGGCACATTTGTACAGTGGCTACTATGCTTCCATTACCAAAGGAAGTTATACTTACAGAAATATTCTACAAAGTATTAGTTGAATGAAAAAAGTTGCAGAACAGAATATATGATCCCATATATATATATATGTATTTTTTTAAGATTTTATTTATTTATTTGACAGACAAATCACAAGCAGGCAGAGAGGCAGGCAGAGAGAGAGAAGGAAGCAGGCTCCCCACCGAGCAGAGAGCCCGATGCAGGGCTCGATCCCAGGACCCTGAAATCATGACCTGAGCCGAAGGCAGAGGCTTAACCCACTGAGCCACCCAGGCACCCCCCATTTATATTTTTTAATAAATATGTTTATATGTACATTAAACCTAGAAAGATATATACCAAATTATTATTATTTCTCATCACTGGAGGACAGGAGTATAAGAGAACTCTCTTTTTTAAGAATACTTTTGTGAAAAAAACTACTTTTGTGGTTGTTGAATCTTTTGTAACCAAAATGATTCTTATAGCCAACACAAACCATAAAAATACTTCCATTTTGGAAAAAATAATTATATCTTCTACAAATGGCCCATATTATTCTGGAATATTCCAGAATGCTGGAGAATGGTATCCTCTTACCTCCTAAGTTAAACTTTTGTACTTATGTTTTTATTTCTTTAAGAATAGGACAGTATTTGAAACTTTTAGAGGTTTATCCTGGACCTGGAATGGCTTGCAAACTTTTTCTTTTTTTTAAGATTGTATTTATTTATTTGAGAGAGAGAGAGTGTACAGTGAGGAGGGACAGAGGGAGAGAGATAGAGAGAGATAGAAGCAGACTCCCTGATGAGCAGGAAGCCATGCTTCTATTTTCCTGCTGCTTTTGATATGATCATTTGATTTTTTTTTTAGCCTATTGATATGGTGGATTCCATTAGCTGCTTTTTGAGTGTTGAACAGCCTTGCATACTGGGGATAAGTCTTATTTGGTCATGGTGTATAATTCTTTTAAGTTTTTGGATTTGATTTACTAAAATTTTGGTGAGTGAGGATTTTTGCGTCTATGTTCATGACCAATATTGGTCTGTCATTTTCTTTTCTTGTGATGTCTTTGTTTTTGTTTTGTTTTGTATTTTAGACTTTATTTATTTAAGAGAGAGTGAGCGAGAGAGAGAGCACAAGCCAGGGTGGGTGGTGGGGAGAGGCAGAGGGAGAAGCAGACTCTCCACTGAGCAGGGACCCCAATGCCGGACTCCATCCCAGGACCCTGGGATCATGACCTGAGCAGAAGGCAGACGCTTAACCGACCGAGCCACCCAGACCTACTTTTATTTTATTTTATTTTTATTTATTTATTTATTTTAAAGATTTTATTCATTTATTTGAGAGAGAGACACAGGGAAAGCTTGATAATGAGGGGGGTGGACCATAGGGACAGGGTGAAGCAGATTCCCCACTGAGCAGGGAGCCTGACATGGGCCTCTATCCCGGGACTCTAGGACCATGACCTGAGCCAAAGGCAGCTGCTTACCTGACTTAGCCACCCAGGTGCTCCTGCATACTTTTATTTTGAAACTAGAGTAGCTAGCATTTTCAGGTAAAGAGGCTTTGGGAAATTGTAAGGGAAGTAAACCAAAGTAAAAGCAACAGCACCCAAATCCCATAATATCCTTGAGGAAATCAGCTAAAAATATAAAATTAAACATGGGCCCACTGTAAAAAGTTACAGACATAAAAAATAATTATGTTGAAAAACTTAAGAAGTTATATGGATTAAACGACATGATATGAAGCACGCACTGGGAACTGACTGTAATTTTCAGTCTGTGTTCTGTGACCAAGTGGCATAGAGCTAAATGAAAAGATTGTCTAAATTCATCTAAGCATTTAAGAATTTTTTTAAAAAGATTTTATTTATTTGACAAATCACAAGTAGGCAGAGGGGCAGGCAGAGAGAGAGGGGAAAGCAGGCTCCCTGCTGAGCAGAGAGCCCTGAGATCCTGACCTGAGCCAAGGCGGAGGCTTAATCCACTGAGCCACCCGGGCACCCCAAGAATGTTTTTGAAATCTTAACCTTAATGCAGCTGGAGATAGTAAAAGCAGCTTTTTAAAAAAAAGTATGAGGCAGTTTTTTACCTTAATCTGAGATGATCAGAGACCTTTCATTTTGACTAACACAGTAACTAGATTTTTTTTTCCCCCTTACCACAGGATTCCTGTTAATGGAGAAAACCCCAAACATCGGTCATGGCATACTTTAACACCAATAGCTGATGATAAACTTTTTCTATTTGGTGGACTAAGTGCAGACAATATTCCATTAAGTAAGTCAATTAAAGTTTAGCCTACAATTATTATCTCATTCTTTTTTCTTAATTGTATTTGATACATAAGTTTCCTTCTTTCCTCCCTCCCTCCCTCCCTCCCTTTCTTCCTTTCTCTCTTTCTTTCATTTTCTGGTTTACTTTTATCCCCAACTGTATGCTTTCATTAAGAATTAGAAGACCCCTTTGCTTTAGTACATTTGGCTCTCCATGTTCTCCTGTTTCCTAGGTATATAGAAAAGGAAGGGTGGTTGAAGCTAGATGAATTAAAGCCCCTTTCAACTATAATATTCTGTGGTTCTGTGCCTTCCTGATTTTTGATCTAGATACTTACATTGTAGCCTAGAATGGGGATTAGAAGAACAGTCTTCCCCAGAAGGCTCTGGAAATATAAGGTACGAAGGCCAGTTGCTTCTCTTTTTGTTCCAAAACTATAAAGGAAAGTGCTTAGCCAGAAACTTTAAACTCCTGTCATTGCTAATTCCAACGGCTGTGGTTTTGTAATGCTGGGGTTTTGTTTTTGTTTTTCCAGCAGTAAAATGGTGGTATCAGGATAGACAAATGACTTAAGAATATCCACTCTCTAGTTTGATGTTAGGTGTTTTGTGTTTTCTTAACTCAGAAGTTTTCCATGACTAGAGAGGTTTTCATAAGAAACCTCATTTATACACTTCCATATAGGATCTGGAAACAACTTTTTATTTTTCAACAGCAATTTATTGATCATCAACTATGAGTCAAGCAGCAAAGGGACTCCAGAGGTTGGCTAGGGAAACAGAGGAGTTTCTAGTAGGGGTGTTAGGTATTGCAAATCATTATGCTTCTCCAATTTGAAGGTTTTTAATTAAAAGAGATTTGGAGTCTAATAAAAAACTAACATCTAGGGGCGCCTGGGTGGCTCAGTGGGTTAAAGCCTCTGCCTTCAGTTCAGGTCATCTCAGGGTCCTGGGATCGAGCCCCGTGTCGGGCTCTGCTCAGCAGGAAGCCTGCTTCCTCCTCTCTCTCTCTGTCTGCCTCTCTGTCTACTTGTGATTTCTGTCTGTCAAATAAATAGATAAAATCTTAAAAAAAAACAAAAACTAACATCCATTTGTTTCAGTAGGGGTTGTTTAATATCATGTCTTTTGAGCTTTAATGTTTTTGTTATTTTTATTTATTTATTTATTTAAAAGATTTTATTTATTTGAGAGAGAATGAGTGAGAGAGAGCATGAGAGAGGCGAAGGTCAGAGGGAGAAGCAGACTCCCCAAGGAGCTTGGAGCCCAATGCGGGACTCGATCCTAGAAGTCCGGGATCGTGACCTAAACCGAAGGCAGTCCCTCAACCAACTGAGCTACCCAGGAGCCCTGAGCTTTAATGTTTTTAATTCCTATTTGGTGTTTTTAGTCATGGACATGTGGGGAATTCCCTGTCCTAACTCTTAGTCCAGTCGGAGCCCTCCTGTACAGACTCAGCTTAATTTCTGGGTATTATAGGATACCAAGAATTAATTTTGTTGACTATGATAATGGCATTATGGCAATGAGATAATGGCATTGTGGTTCTGTAAACAATGTATTTTTTAAAGTGATGTTTACTGAAGTATATGTGGGGGAAATGACAGGAGAGCTAAGATTTGCTTTAGAGTAACTGAGCCACAAGAATAACAAAAAAGAGATAAATGGAGCACGTGTGACAAAACCTGGATAGTTGTTGAATTTGGGGTATGTGAGGGTGCATGTCATGGCCATATGGTGCATATCATGGCCATTCTACCTGTGTATATCTCTGAAAATTTTTGTGAGAAAATATACATACACACAAAAAAAGACAGTTGTATAAATATAGCATGATAAATTTGGGAAAAAGTTTAAATTTTATACTAAAGACCTAATCTTACTTTCTGAACTGTCTTAATTGCAGGTGACGGCTGGATTTATAATGTTATAACAAATGGTTGGAAACAACTTACACACTTACCTAAAACAAGACCCAGGTAACTCTAGAAGTTAATGACTAGTAAAATAGTTAAGAATTTCTGAAGTATTAAAATATAGCACTGATTTTATAGTGTTTGCCATTAAAATTGTAAATAATCAAGAAAGATATCTTTCAAATAAGCTAGATGTTACCTAAGTAGTTATCATTTTAATTATGTCTGATTGTTAGATATGGTCTATTCTGTTTTCATCCATGTTTGCATACTTAAAAATGTTACTCTTTTAGGTAAATGTGTAATCTTGCCTGATAATATGAAAAGGCTAAGAAATTGGAAGTATCATATAATGTTAATATTTTTGATAAGTAGACAAGAATGGGGTTGGCTTTAGTAATTATTTGTTTTTAGAAGAGGTTTTTTGCAATTTAATAAGAAAATTACTTTAATGTTGATCAATAGATGGCAGATTATTATCTTAATTAACTGATGTAGTCATTAATATGAATTTTTTGAAAAAAAAGACGTAAATTATTTGTCATATATTATAGAGTAAAAATTGTAGAAACAATATATAATCATACTACAATTGATCGTTGACAACACAAGTTTGAATTGCATGGATCCATTTACTACATACATTTTTTTTAATGTACACAGTACTATAAATGTATTTTCCATATGAGTTTCTTAATAACATTCTCTTTTTTAAAATGTGAGTAGTTGACACACAATGTTACATTAGTCTCAGGTGTATAACATGGTGATTCAACAGCTCTATACATTAACCTATGCTCACCACAGTTGTAGGTGCCCTCTGTCACTATGCAACGCTACCACAGTGTCACTGACTGTATTCCCATGCTGTACCTTTTATTCCCATGATTTACTCATCCATAACCGGAAGCCTGTATCTCCCAATCCCCTTCACCTGTTTTGCCCATCCTCCCCACTCCCTTTTCCTCTCTCAGTCATCACTTTGTTCTCTGTATTTGTAGGTCTGATTTTGCTTTTTATTTATTTATTCATTTTTTATAATGTTTTCTTTTCTCTAGTTTCCTTTATTGTAAGAATACAGTACATAATACATATTACATACAAAATATGTATTACTTGGATTTATGTTATTGGTAAGGCTTCTGGGCAATAGTTAGCTATTAGTTTTGAGGAGCCCAAAATCGTATGTCAATCTTCAGTTCTGGGGGGTATCACTGCCCCAACCCCTGTGTTGTTCAAGGGTCAACTGTACAAAGAAAACCACATTAGAATTGTAATACTTTTTTTTTTCTAATTTGAGAGAATAGTATAATAAAAATATATTCTTAGGAAATTCAGAGTCAACACATTATAATCATTGCAGTTAGTAATAGATTTTACTCTTTTGCATGCCATGTATTTCAGAAATTTTTTTGCTATAGATTATGTATACAAGTGTGAAGTTAACTCAGTCGTGTGCATTTCAGAAGTTTAATAAATGACAATTAAGTAACTTACTTGAGAAAAAGTTGAGAAGGAATTTGTATATCTTTCAGTGTCTATATTTATATTAATATGCATAAAACAGTTAGAGTTTATCATAATTACATACGTGATTCTTATATTTTCATGTGTAAAAATTCATTGAAATGTATTATTTTAGCAATTTGGATCTTTTGAAATGCATTTTTTAACTTAAAGAGTTGTATATTAAGATATGGGAACCCAGTGTTCTAGTCCTTGCTCAGCTACTACTTAGCTTTTTGGCTTTGGGAAAGTCACTTAAAGAAACTGAGCATTAATTTCTTCATCCCGCGAAATAAGGGAGTTGGACTAGAGAAGCTCTTAGTTCTCTTTCAGTTGTTTGAATGTATGACTGCAGTAATTTTGGACCAGAGTGTTATTAAGAATATGTTTAATTTTTAAATTGCTCCTATTTTATAATTCAATCCTTAATAAGTATTTAGAGCAACACAACTATTATTAATAATGATATTAGTTAGAACTGAGCTATGTAAAGAGATTTCTTTGAATTCAGCTGATGTGTCATGTAAATAATATGCTTTATTAGAATGTTTAGGTGATAAGTTTAGAGCAGCTGTGAGAGGACATAAACTATCAGTCTATAGACAAACATCAGGTTGCAAGCTAGATGTCACCAAAATCAAGGCAGGAAAGGCTTTCCAGTGTTCTTCGATGATGAAGTCCAGGCCAGAGTTTCCCTAAGGCAGATAAGACAGAGGCAGATCTATCTTCAGGTATGAGGTGAGGAGGAGAACAGGTGGGATACAGTTTAGTGTAAGGAGAACATATATATATATATATGTATGTGTACTAATTTTTTATGAGTGAGAATTTACTTAACATCTAAATACATTTTGTGCTGTTTCAAGTTATAATTTGAAATGTAAATGGCCCAATTCTCCTCTTGTAATCCTACAGCAGGGTTTCTCAGCCTCGGCACAACTGACATTTTGGACCAAATTATTCTTTGTTACTAGGGGTGTCCTATGCCCTGGAGGATGTTTAGTGGCAAATTTGGCCTTCACCCACTAGAGCCTAGTAGTACTGTGCCCCCCTCACACACACATCTGGATTTGTGACAATCAAACTATTTCAGATATTGGCAAATGTCCTTTGGGGGCAAAATCAGCCCTGGTTGAAAACCACCATTTTGTAGCATTTCACTCTCTTCTCCAGGTCGCACCTTAGTTAGAGCAAGGCTTGGTTGAAAGGCCATCTTTCTAGCCATATCCAACTGCCTGGATAAGTAGCTGTCAGCAAGGACCTTTTTTTTATAACATGTCTAGAAAAGAAGTCCAACAAAGCATTCACTTATGGAGCCTCCAGTACTTCCTGATGGATCCCATGATTGTGCCGAGGTTACACATGGCCTTCTCTCCCAGAAATTAAATGTTCCTTGTATTCGACTTCCTTTATCCAATTCCTCATTCCCAAGCTCACACCATAATCTGGGTGTCAATGAAGACTTACATCAATTTATGTTCTAACATATAAGTTGGAGAGTTGGGCAGAGCATTTCCGAAACAAAATCCCTTATGACTCAGTTCTATCCTGGGTGCCGAGTGCAACTGTCATTGAATGTGTGAGTGATCATTTGAGGAAAGTACTTGATGTAGCCAATTGTGCATAATCCTACTGTTTGCACTTGTGGGAGTTAAGTGAAAAGGATAAATGTACTAAAAATAAGTGATGTGGTAATAAAATAAGTGATAATGTGTAACTGGGGTGTCTGTTGCTTCAGTAATTTGGTCTATTAAGGGAAGTCATCAAAATTCAGAGTCAAAGCAATGACTTTGTAAAATTCTCGATTTATCTTCTAAAATTGAGAACTTTACATGTACTTTTTTGTCCTGAGACTTAGAGCTCCCCAAAGTACTGAATTTTATCAAACATATGTTTATGCTTTGTAAATAATGTGAAATGGGAGATGACTGTGAGCTATCAGACCATTTCCAAAAGAACATTAGATGCTCTACTCCTACGAAATAATTTATTTAATAATTGAATAAATTATGGTGTTTTTTTGCATTTCCTTTTGTTAATTAGAGTTTTTGACCCCCCCCACTGGACGTAGAGCACCATATTTAGGCATTTTTAAGGAGAAGCATAAAATTAGATTTCCCAAGTTGCAGTGGTGTGCTGGTAAAGGCTTAAACGACTGCTTTCCAGGAAAAACAAAACAAAAAAGCCCTAATTTGTAGTATTTGCTGGTTCCCACCATGGCCAATTTCAGGCTCCCACCGAGATGGCACTGAACGTGGATTTGGACAGAGACAGGCAGACTTTGTTTCACCGACCCGGTAAGCCCCTTCCAGCACACCACTGGCAAGTTTTGATCTAAGGACCTCACGTGTGGACCTTTAGAAGATCCACACATCAGATAATTAAAGTAGTATATAGAGCAGTTTCTGTCCAAATGTAAGTCTGAAGATTATAAAACGAACATGGAAATCTTCAAAGGTGCTAACCAGGGAGGGTAACCGAGCTGGTTTGTTTGGGTATTTGGATGATTCCTGGAGATTTTGAACCTGTGCTTAAGGCCCTGAAAGAATGACTTATCATCTTAAGCATAAGAAATGGGGTGAGCAAAAGCCTACAGACAGATAAGATTTTCTCTTAAGGGATGCAAATAAATGAACTTGGGAGGAAGAGAGGGTTCATTGCAGTGGGAGGGGCCAAGAATTAAGAATTTTGAGAAAAAGAAATAATCATTGATCATGCATATGAGGCTGAGAAAAATGGCACAGTTGCTTCCTGATCAGGACATGTCCGTGGTTAAAAACATTTCAAAAATATTATTTAACAGTCAAGTGTAGCTGAGAGAGACTAGAGACAGAAAAATAAGGAACAATTCTGGTATTCTGTGCCCAGAGTGATAAGTAGTGTGACAGTGTAAACGTGAAGGGACAACCAAGTTGGGTTTGTTAGGGGATGGGGAACAGAGAACAGGAAAGAAAAGCCAAAAATGTTGAAAACAGGAACATGGCAGATAATAATAAGAAAATTAGGGAAAAGTTCCATTTTTCAGCAAAAGGATGATCAGTTCCTTTTTAATTAATTTTATTTCACTGATAATATCTATAAGATTAAGAGGCTAGAAAAAGGTTGGGGGATATAATAGAAAATAATTATTAGGGTTCATCTCCTTAATTGATGTGATTTAATGAGAATCTAATGGTTTAGTGATTCTAGAGGAATCTTCAAAATCTCTTTTAGGATATGCCAAAGGTTCAAATTCAATCATGCCCATTTTGAAATAGATTAAATGTGAAGTGTGCAGTTTAAAATTGATTTATATGTCATATATAGTTTCCTTCTTCATAGTATTTTACTCTGCTTATAATTTTCAATTATAGGTTATGGCATACAGCCTGTTTGGGGAAAGAAAATGAAATAATGGTATTTGGTGGGAGCAAAGATGATTTACTTTCCTTGGATACAGTAAGAAAATTTCACATCTAACTATTTCCTCTGAGTGGTTTTGTTATTCTAACTAAATGGCTATTCAGCAGAATTATTGATATTCCCACATTGCCAAATATGGGAGAATATGAAATGTTACTTGATAGTGTGATTAATCTTCAGAACGAGTAGCTTTTGTGAAGTATTTCAGGATATTTTGAGTTTACAAATCAAACTCATTAGTTTGACTAATGACAAACGTCATTAGTCAAGTTATTAAGAGCTTTTAAAAGACCTTCTTTTTCTGAGTCTGAGTCTCACCATAGTATGGGTGTTTGTAATTTTATTAGATTAAAATATTTCCAAGTTATAATTGATATTTCATAAGACTATATACAATGTATACATAAACTACTAAGTATAGTAGTAAGTCCCCATGAAATTGGTACCTCATCTAATAACTGGAAAACCAGTGCTAGCTTCTCCCATCAAGAAGAAAGTAGCTTGAAATTTTTAACTGTACTTTCTTTTTACTTTATGTGTCTTTTGCCACAGCTTTACCCACCTTATATTTAAGAGTAAAGCACTGCAGTTTTAAAATTTGATAAAACTAAGGTCAAATAAATAAATGAAAAGCATTTGGAGAGTATTGTTCTTTCACTCCTTGCACCTTGGGAATTTCAGAGCAAGGTGGCCACGCTTCTACTGTGTTGTGATGGGACAGCAGCTCAGGATTGGTTGCTCTGGTTTGTGTAGGACATTTGGGAACAGCGGGACTCAGAACTGGCAGGGACAGGAGGCACCAGCCAGAATCCAGCCATGTTGGTGCCAGCACTCTCCCCGACATCTTTCTAGACATAGTTATCTCCAGAGTTGTGCCTGCCAAGTGGCGAACCCTGAAATGGGCTGGCTTCTCTCCAGGGGATTTGGTTTACTTTACAGTTTTGAAACCTCCAATTTAAACGTTTCATACATTGAAAGTCTGAGAACTTTCTCTGGATGAGAATTCAATGTTTCAACAAAAGATTAAAACCACGACTTTGCATTTAATTTAAAAGCGAATTTTGTGGTTTGTCTTCTTTTTCTTGGCACTAGAAATTGGTAGGATACAGAGTTTATCATTAAAACAGGAATCCTGATTAAAATCATGATCATAAATTATGAAATTCTAAAGGCTTATTTGAAAGGATTAGGGACATTTTTCTGTTCATTCTTCCACATTAACTTTTAGATGAGAGAATCATTATTCAAAAAATCTTCTGGGATCAGAGATTTCCAAATGAATTCCCAGGGACTCCTGGACCATTTAGAAAATAGAGACAAGATAAAGAGATTTTAAAATAAGAGTCATTTGGAAGAGAAAAGTTCTCCTTAAAAACAAAAAAGCTTGAAAATCACTACTTTTCTCGTTTTGAGCTCATTGTTCTAAGAGAAAAACATGTATCTGAATTTTAAATTTGCAATTGTATATGTTGTGGTTAGGTAAAAACTTGGTCATTGAGAAATGGTAGTGACCTACCCAAAGTTTGTGTGGCTAGCAGGTGTGTGTATATGTATGGTGTGTGTGTGTGTATGAATAACTAGGGGGAGAGATTAATTTGCTGCTTATAATTTCTTTTACATTTACAAAATAAAAATATTAAATTATTAATGCATTTTTATTCTTTTAAACACCTTAATAATTCTTTTTTTATGTTGATTAGGGCCACTGTAATGATTTATTGATCTTTCAAACACAGCCTTACTCACTACTCAGGTAAGTAAATTCATTATATATATTATATATATATATATATATATATATGCTATATACATATATACATATATATATGCTATATACATATAAATAAAGGAATATGAAAGAAATTATCATATCTTATTAGTATATGCTATATATATAAAATAAATATTAATATATTATATTAAGGTATAATAGCATATAATTATACGCTATTAAGATACGATATGTAGGGGTGCCTGGGTGGCTCAGTGGGTTAAAGCCTCTGCCTTTGGCTCAGGTCATGATCCCAGGGTCCTGGGATCCAGCCCTGCATCGGGCTCTCTGCTCAGCTCTCTGCTCAGCAGGGAGCCTGCTTCCCCCTCTCTCTCTGCCTGCCTCTGCCTACTTGTGATTTCTGTCTGTCAAATAAATAAATAAAATATTTTTTAAAAAAAGATATGATATGTATATGCTATTAAGATATGATAATTTCTTTCATCTTCCTTTTTGAGAAGTGTGGTAACTTTTCAAGTAGTTTATGACTTGAATTTAAGAAAATGTTTATATCTTCCTAAAAGTATAATCAAGCTTATAATAGTGAACCATACACCAATGTGATTTTTAAAAATTAAAATATATAATACAATCATATTTTTATATGGGAATATTAAACTTACTGTACTTCCTTGGTTCTAAGCCTGAAATATTTCATATTTTAACTTTTCTGAAATCAGAGTGTGTCCAATAATAGACACACATATATATGCATTTAATTTAGTAGAATTTCTCTCTTTTTTTTTAACACCAAAGCTGTTATTAAATTGGTGGTGTGACTTACAATGTCTTAGCTCATACATTCTTGCTTTAAAAGGAAGGTTTAACAAAGTTTACAAGGTTTAGTTGGAATATTGTGGAAAAAAAAAAAAAATCCCATTTCTTGGGGTGCCTGAGTGGCTCAGTGGGTTAAGCCTCTGCCTTCAGCTCAGGTCATGATCCCAGGGTCCTGGGATTGAGTCCCAAATCGGGCTCTCTGCTCGGTGGGGAGCCTGCTTCCCCCTCTCTCTCTGCCTGCTTCTCTGCCTCCCTGTGATCTCTCTCTCTCTCTCTCTCTCTAATAAATAAATAAAATCTTAAAAAAAAAAATCCCATTTCCTGTGAGGGTCAGGAAGAAGGATTTGAGTGAAGTAAAAGTTGCTCGGTGACCAGTTTGTTTTGTTTTGTTTTGCTTTTTTAAGATTTTATTTATTTGAGAGAGAGACCCCTCCTTCTATTACTGCAGTGGTTCCTTCTGTGACTGCATGTTATATAATCTCATAGGGAACTTCAAAAAGTATTGATGCCTGTGTTCTCCGCCCATGTGTTATGATTTAATTGGTCTGGGGCGTGGCCTGAACTTAGGAATTTTTGGAAGACCCCAACATAGTTCTTTTTTTTTTTTTAAAGATTTTATTTATTTATTTGACAGAGATCACAAGTAGGCAGAGAGGCAGGCAGAGAGAGGGGGGGAAAGCAGGTTCCCCGCCGAGCAGAGAACTCGATGAGGGGCTCGATCCCAGGACCCTGAGATCATGACCCAAGCTGAAGGCAGAGGCTTTAACCCACTCAACCACCCAGGTGCACCATAGTTCTAAAGTGCAGATGTCATGATTATACTGTCTTGTATTGTTACTTAACTTTTGCTGTGAACATAACTACTTTCCCTAAGTAGATTGTAAGTTCTTTATATGCAGGGATCAAAAAATATAGTATTCAAGTGCCTGCCATGGGACGGCACTATACTAATGAAGTGAAAAGTCATGCTCTTTCCCTTAAACTGCTAGTAATATAGAAGGCAGGGGTTCAACAACTATAAAAGAAAAATAAAATTGTTTTAAGAGAAGCATATACGAAGTTAATGGGACTACTGACAAAGAAGACCCTCTACCTATGTGGTTAAGATGGTGAGGGCTAGCAGAGTCTTTGCAGAAGAGGAAGAGTTTGAGACAGTTTGCTACAAACAAGCAGTGCAAGGGTGTTAGTACAAGATACACAAATATATATGTTCTGGAAACTGAATTTTTGAGCGTTCCTAGACATATGCATGAGGTAGGGAGTTCGACAAGAAATCAGAAACCATATATCATCTAGAGCCTTTGTGTTTCATGCAGATGAGTTTACATTATCTTGTGGGAGATCAAGAACCACTGAAAAATTTGCAGCAGAGGAATGAGATGATCATATTACAAATAAGAAAGCTCCTTTGAGAACAATGTGGATAAGAGATTAGAGGGTTATATTACTGTGTAAGGAAAGTTAATAGAGTCTTACAGTGGTCAAACACAAAGTGTGGGACTGATCTTGAAAGTGGCCATGGAGCTGGAGAAGGGATGGAGGTAGAATGGGCTTGGTAGGAAAAGAAGAGGGAAGAATTAGTAATAGAGAGTCTATGAAGAAGGAAATGAGTTTGAAGGTAGGATGGCTTAGAAAGATGAATTTGGTTTGGGGCCTTTTGAGCTTGAAGTACTTATGGCATCTTTAATGGAGCTATTCATTAACTAGATAAGTATATGGAGAGATATCTGGGATAGACATAAAGAATCATTGGAGGATAGGGACTCCCGGGTGGCTCAGTTGGTTAAGCATCCAACTCATGATCTCAGCTCAGATCCTTATGTCAGAGTCATGAGTTCAAGCCCCATGTTGGTGCATGGAGCCTACTTAAAAAAAAAAAAAAAATCATAGGGTGCCTGGGTGGCTCAATCAGTTAAGCACCTGCCTTTGGCTCAGGTCATGATCCCAGTGTCCTGGGATCAAGTCCCACATCTGGCTCTCTGCTCAGTGGGGAGCCTGCTTCTCTCTCTGCCTGCCACTCTGCCTACTAGTGCGTACTCTCTCTCTGTCAAATAAGTAAATAAAATCTTAAAAAAAAAAAAAAAGAATCACTGAAGTATAAATGGGCATGTGCTAGCTCTGCCCAAGAAGAATTTTAAGAGTAAGGATGAAGCCAACAACTGAGCGCTAAGAACTCAACATCTGAGGAGTTCGAGGAAAAGAGGTACAAGAGAATGACCAGGAAAGTGAAAGGTGAACCAGGAGATACTGGAAATGAGAAATGAAAAACGGAAGGAGGAAAGAACTGAAGTCAGAGAGACTACTAACTGTAAAGAGGTCACAGAATATCTGGATCGAAAAATGCTGTGGTGTTTGGCCATGATCACAAGGATCATTTCTCCCAAGCAGCACCAAGGCTACAGGAAGAGTGAGGAGCGGGTTGACCCTTGAATAGCACATGTCTGAGGTGCACAGGTTCACTTGTACACAGGCTTTTCCCCATAAATCCACACAGCACTGTAAATGTGTTTTCTCTTCCCTAGGATTTTCTTTCTTTTTAAGATTTTATTTATTTGAGGGATGCCTGGGCGCCTCAGTTGGTTAAGCGGCTGCCTTCAGCTCAGGTCATGATCCCAGTGTCCTGGGATCGAGTCCCACATCCGGCTCCTTGCTCGGCAGGGAGCCTGCTTCGCCCTCTGCCTCTGCCTGCCATTCTGTCTGCCTGTGCTCGCTCTCCCTCTCTCTCTCTAATAAATAAATAAAATCTTAAAATTTTTTTTTTATTTATTTGAGACAGAATGAACAATGGAAAGGGTCAGAGGGAGAGCGGGAGAAGCAGATTTTTCACTGAGCAGGGAGTGGATGCGGAACTTGATCTCCATAACCTGAGTGGAAGGTCGATGTTTAACCCACTGAGCCACCCAGGCGCCCCTTCCCTAGGATTTTTTTTTTTTTTTAAGATTTTACTTATTTATCAGAGAGAGAGAGACAGAGACAGAGAGAGGGAACACAAGCAGGGGGAGTGAGAGAGGGAGAAGCAGGCTTCCTGGCTGAGCAAGGAACCTGATGTGGGGCTCGACCCCAGGACCCTTGGATCATGACTGGAGCTGAAGATAGACACTTAAGGACTGAGCTGCCCAGGCGCCCCTTCCTAGGATTTTCTTAGTAACATTTCTTTTTTCCCGTTTCCTTTATTGTAAGAATACAGTATATAACATATAACACACACAATGTATATTATCTGAGTATGTTATCCATAAAGTTTCCAGTCAACGGTAGGCTATTAGTAATTAAGTTTGCGGGGAGTCAAAAGTTATGTGTGGATTTTCTGCTGCATGGGACCTGGGTGCCCCTAACCCTGTCGCTGTTGAAAGGTGACTGTATTTGTTTATACGCTGAGAAGCAGCAGCCAGTTTTTGGAAACGCAAGAAAATGAAGGAAAAATTGTCAGAGCAGGGTCTTGAGAAGATGGATTTTAGTCAGCAGCTAACTGAATTAGTTGTTGAGGAAAAGAACGCTTTAAAATGAGGGAAGTGGGAATATAAAGGTAGAGAAATTTGTTGGCTGGGGGGTAGGGGACAGGGCGCTGAGAAAGTTTTAGTTGGTAGTGAGTCGTCGGGGAACAAGGAGGAGAGGGGACATACGAACGTAAGAGGCGCGGGGAAGACTGGAGATCCCTTCCACCGTGGCTTGGAGAAGGTACGAACGAGGACCCCGTCACACAGCCAAGCACTCGCGGCCCCTCCGAGGCTGAAGAGAACGGGCCGGGTGGGGGTGGGGGGCGCAGGTCAGCACACGCAGCCTCCGCTACAGCCGCACTAGGCTGCGGGGTGGTCCGCGCGGGAAGGACAGGGCGCCGAGTCCACCCCTGTGGGAGCTGTCACCGAGGCACGTGGGGCGAGGGGTCCAGTTGTGGGCCAGAGCACGAAGTGCAGACGCACTGGGCGGGCAGCAAAGGAAGGTAAAACCGGGGGCGCCTGGGTGGCTCAGTCAGTTAAGCCTCTGCCCTCGGCTCAGGTCATGATCTCAGGGTCCTGGGATCGAGCCCCACATCGGGCTCTCTGCTCAGCAGGGAGCCTGCTTCCTCCTCTCTGTCTCTCTGCCTATTGTGATCTCTGTCAGACAAATAAAATCTTAAAAAAAAAAAAAAAAAAAAAAAGCCGGAGGGGCCCTGGCGCCTGGAGGAGCGGAACAGCGCGGGGAGGAAGGGAGCCGGGCGCAAGGCGGCGGTCCCGCAGGAGAGGGTGGACGTGGAAGGTCTCGGAGGCGGCCCTGTCCTGAGTGAGGTTGGGAAGGCTACACGGGTTTTCCACACGAAGTCCGCAGGGACGGGGAGAAGCAATCCGTTAACAGAGGCGAGCCCGGCAGGCGGAGGGACGCAGCCCCGGGGCCGGCGCAGGAGCGCGAGCAGCGGCGGCAGCCCCTGGACGGTGCTCGCCGAGCCGCGGGCGGGCTGCGCTCCTCTCCGGAAGGCTGCCCGGAGCCGCGGCCGAGAGAGCAGTTAGAGCGAGGAAGCCGGCGCGGGCAGGGTGTTTGCCGTGTGGCGGCTGCTCCAGAAAGCAGGGAGCTCAGATGGGCGGGGAGCGGTGGTGGGGAAGAGGTCCCGGCGGAGAGAGGCGGGAAACCGGGAGGGCAGGCCGCATGCGCTGGTGTTGGAGGCTGGGACGGAGGCGTCCCTGGACGCAGGCTTCGGCGTGGCACCCTCCGCCCCAGCACAGCTTCTCCCTGACACCAGAGCTAGACTGTAAAAGGGGCGCCTGGCTGGCTCGGGTCGGTGGAGCCCCGACTCTTGACCTTGACGTTGTGAGTTGGAGCCCCACCTCGGGTGTGGAGGTTACTTTTAAAAAGTCGTCATTTTAAAAGCCTTGAATCTAAAACTAAACCTTGAATCTAGCGGGAATTTAGTGGCTTAGTGTGAGGCATATCCACCACAACCTGCCGCCAGCAGCGCAGCCAGAGCCATTCTTTTATTTTAAAATTTTCAGTCAGAAGACAGCAATTATGGTGTTGAGATAGTAGGGGAGAAGAAAGATGAATAGGATGGATACGCTGTGGTTCCTCATCTCAAAGAACTGACATGATCTGATATATCTGTGGGATCGTGCTCATCGTACACGCGGTTACATACATAGTTTTAAAATACCTGTTATTTATTCTGGTAAAAAATAAAATGTGTCTACCAAGAAAATTCATACAATATGAAAAAATAAATGGTTTTAAAAAAGCCGTTATCTACAATGATCATTGCTAGCAGTTTGATGTTTATCCTTCCACACTTTAAAATGAAAAATGTTGTTGATTTAATCATGCTAAGAAGTCCCTCAAACCTTAGCGAAAGCCGTATACACAGGGTGTGTGTGTGTGTGTGTGTGTGTACACGCGCTTGGGTTTAAAGGGTCAGATTATGCATCCTGTTTATAGTCTGTTTTTGAAACTCATATTGTGGGCATATTTTATGTAGATATATAATCATTCAGTGAGTTACAGATTTACATTTATGTTTGTAATGGCTATACAGTATTCTATTTCATGGAAGTTATAATTTATTTACTAGTCTATTTATATGTATTCAGGCTATCTAAAATTTGGAGCTATTATAAAAAATTATGTGTATAATATTCTTGTATATGCTTTTGGAAAACTTGCATATCTTCTCAGGAGGAAATTCCTACAAAGGATGTTGGTGGATCAAGGCAAATGCACATTTTACACTGTGATGAGTCGGTGGCTCCCACTGCCCTTAGACAGACTGCAGATTCCTTACCATGATGTTCCCAACCTCCACGGATCTCTCTACCTCATTTCTTGCCATGTCCCCTGACCCCTCATACTCTGCCAGAGCTATATTTGAACCTCTCAGTTGCAGTTTCTGTAATAAATCTTATTTCTCATTTCTAGGGCTTTGCAGGTGTGGTTCCTCTATCATGGAATACTTTTATTTGTTGAGACCCTCAGGGTCTCAGCTTGGACGTCCCATCTGGAAGGTTTTCCTTGCTGCAGTTGTCCTGGTTATTCTTCCTCTCTGAGTCCCCTAGAACCCTGTACCTGGTGTGGAAATTTCATGTTATCCTAGTCACAGCATTGTTTATCTTCACTAAATTGTAATCTCCTTGGAAGTTGAAATAGTGGGGGGCACCTGGGTGGCTCAGTCAGTTAAGCATCTGCCTTTAGCTCAGGTCATGATCCCAGGGTTCTGGTATGGAGCCCCAGCATCAGGCTCCCTGCTCAGGGAATCTGCTTCTCCCTCTCTGTCTGCTCCTTCCCCTCCCCCTTTATGCTTTCTCTCTGTGTCTCAAATAAATAAAATCTTTTTTAAGAAAAAGTTGAAATGGGGGTTTCATCAAAATTGGGCTTCCTCCTCCTAAGTTGTGTACACAAATTAATACTTGTTGCATCAGTGAATGAATAGTAATGACGGAGTCCATCTCCTTATCTGACTCTTCCCTTTCCCCGTCATGGTTGTGGTAGGGGTGCGGGAGTTCTTATGTTACCAGAGTGGCCCAACTAAGTTTACATCAAGTGTAGGATTTGTGTCATTTGCTTTTCACTCTCCTTAGAGTTGTCACAGGGTAGAGAAAAAAGGCTTCATGAAAGTAAGGAAGAAAATTGAAATATCTAGAGTGTAAGTCCTTATAAAATGACAACTGGGGTTAACTACAGCAGAATCAAATGAATCTATCTTTAAAAGGTTTTATAAAGATTTACTTACCTTTTTGATTAAAAGTTTATCCATTGGGGCACCTGGGTGGCTCAGTGGGTTAAAGCCTCTGCCTTCAGCTCGGTTCATGATCCCAGGGTCCTGGGATCGAGCCCCACATCCCCACATCGGGCTTTCTGCTCAGCAGGAAGCCTGCTTCCTCCTCTCTCTCTGCCTGCCTCTCTGCCTACTTGTGAGCCGTCTGTCAAATAAATAAATAAAATCTTAAAAAAAAAAGTTTATCCATTGAAATAGATGCTTTCTTGATAGTTCTCAAGCAAGTTTCTTTTGGTTTTAAAATATGAAATCCTCTTCAACGTAGCTGAAGATAAAAAGGGAACTGTATTTGGAAGGACACACTGTCTAGGAGAATCAAAGGCGACAAGTGAACAGGGTACCCAGAAAGGGTGGACCTCAGGTGGTCTCTCTTGGGCTCTTTCTATATTGCTGTTCCCTTCATTCCTCTCCTCAGACCTGTTCTCCCTGGGTCAGTGTAAGTGGAGTGTGCCAGTGCAGTGAGTTACAGAATGGGGATGGGGCGGACCGGGTCCTGTGGCATAAAAATGGATATTAGATAATTCATCTTGGGGTGATGGAAGAAAAAGATTTAGTTCTCAGAGAAGATTAAATGGTTATTGGACTGGAAGGATAAATGAAAAAACATCTGCTATAGACTACCCTGCTTTGATATTAAGTCTGACTCTTTTCTGCTTAAATAACATTATGCATGGTCCATGGTAAATTGTAATTTCTGTTTCTATTGGATTTTGGCCAGATATGGCCTCTATGCTATAAAAATATGTAATTACTGTGGTGCTCTGGGAAGAACGTGTATCTTCTCATGTTCCAAACAATACAGAAGAAATACATTATCATGTAAAAATTTTATAATCATTTTTATGAAGAATACTTACCTATAAATATAACTTCAGTTTCAAAAACTAACAATTCTGTTATGTTTTGTTTACAGGTCATGCCTTGACTGCATTGGCAAAAATGCTTTAATTTTAGAAAGTCAGATATCTTTATTACCTCCTAAACTTCTGCAACAAGTAGTCAAAAAAATAACATTTTGGACTGCAGCTAATCACCGGGAAGAACAAAGAGCCCAAAAAGAAGAAACAGAAAATAAGTATCAGTGGATCACTAGCAATTAAATTGTTATATACTCTATATATTTAACATGTGTAAACATTTTAATCAGACTGTATATTTACCCCCCCCCCAAATTGGAGGCTTTATTTAGAAGATAAAATCTGAAGCAAAAATGCTATGTTAAAGTGATTATATGTCATGGAATATATGGGAATAAGATGTGAATGGAAAATTAATTTATATTTATATTTGTAAACTAATTTCCTAATAAGCTGTAGGAAGAAATATACTTTCTGAAAGTAAGTACAGTTGTAAGAGATTTTTAACTCACTGTTAAAAGTTTATATGAATTTGACAAGAATGAGATAATAACCCAAGGACTGTAGAAATCCCCCAACATAATAATAGATAGATAGATAAAAACACTATATATCAACTTTCAGAAAGAATAGATTTTCTCAAGCCACTTTAAAATTATCTACAGCTTCCAAAAAAAAAAAATTATCTACAGCTTCTCATTAAATAACCCAGTTATTTAAAAACATCTCCCTGAATAACGGATCCATCTGGGCAAAATGATAAAATGGGCAAACACTAGTATGTGTTCAGTACTGGCCTCCTGCCCTTCAGTGCTTACCTAGCAAAGTCTCTCATTAAACATCATCATAACTTTTCCTCACCTTTACTTGAGGAGCAAAATAAATGTCTTCAACTGTCTCTCCATTACCCTTAAGTCATTAATTTGTCCAAATTGGTAGATATAAAGACCATGTTTTAAAATATCTAAAGTGGAGGTTTACTTATCATACAGACTTTTAAATATTGACAAGCAGTAGATGTATTAACTTCCCAGACACGTTAAAATACATTGTTGCCTTGGAAGAATTCTCCTAGTTTCTGTAAGTAATGAAATGAGATGGTCACCTGCATAGAAACCCTGCTATTTGGCTCACACCATCCTACAGAGCTGGTCCTCAAGACCCACCATATTGGACATATGTTCTCTTTCCACTGACTGTCAGTATTAACTGCCTCTACGGAAACGGCCCACTGTCTTTATATTCCTTCAACCAGTACTTTTGCCATAATTAAGTTACTCATTATTATCAGTTATACCCTTCCATTGAATTACTAATAACAATGAATTATTAAAAAGCTCAGTACATGAAATTATTCTCCATAACAGTACCATTCAAGTTATCCCTAAAACTTAAAACATTAGAGAGAATATATTTCTATATTGAAATAAATATATAATTTATAATAATTATAGTAGCTCATTAAATTTTATAGATATATTTTATATACACACACACACATACACCATATTTTGGATGTGTAAAGCTTTTATTTATGTATTGAAATACTTTGTGCTTACATTTTATTTATTATATGAACTATATAGATATACTATTTTCCTAGTTTTATTAGTGTGAACCAGTCATTAGAGTTGATGGTGCAAACAATATTTCAGTGTAAGTTTTTTCTTTTTTTTTAATTTTCTTTACTATTTTTAGGCTGAATAACAGATTTAGAAAACGAATCTCTCAGGCAATATACATCTTAGAAGTAATTATTATATGAACTTATGTTACCAGCATTTTTAAGGGAAAAATATCAAAACCTATTCGACAGTGATAGATGAGAGTGAATGGAATGAACATCTTTTAAAATGTGGATCATGTGAATTTAAATTCTAGATTATGCAGATACCTTCCGAAGCCTCTTAGAAAAGCACTTCCGGTTTGAAATGGTTTACTTTAAAAACAAAATGTTATATTAGTCACCATACAGTACATCATTAGTTTCTGATATAGTATTCCATGATTCATTGTTTGCATATAACACCCAGTCTTCCAATCAATATGTGCCCTCCTTAATACCCATCACTGGGCTCGTCCATCCCCCCCTTCCCCCCTCCTCTCTAAAACCCTCAGTTCGTTTCCTGGAGTCATAGTTTCTCATGGTTCATCTCCCCCTCCATTTCTCCCCCCTTCATTTTTCCCTTCCTTCTCCTAATGTCCTCCGTGCTATTCCTTACGTGTGAAACCACATAATAATTGACTTTCTCTGCCTGATTCATTTCACTCAGCATAATCTCCTCTAGTTCCATCCACAATGATGGCAAAAGTTGGGGATTCATCCTTTCTGATGACTGAGTAATATCCCATTGTGTATATGGACCGCACTTAGAAGGTTAAAAGTTGGATTAACCCCTCAAAATAAACTATCATTTAAGCTTCAACAGAAATCTATTATCTGTGGCACACAAAACTTTTGACTTACTATACTGTGCTGCTTTGAGAACTTGTATGTCCTGAGGTGGGAGCCCCATTAGTAGGAAGAGCAGAACATTCTGATCTTTACCTTCAAGCTCCAAAAGTTCGCTTAAACCAGAATTATTTTGAAGGCTCAAAGCCAAGCAGTGTTAATTCCTCACTTCTCCCCAGCTGATGCTTTACTATCAACTTTAGTGCTGCTGATCTCCTCAGCAGCAAGACAGCAACAACTCATAACTTCCTCTCTGAGCTCCCATCATAGGCTCCCTGTTTGAAAAACAACTCTGCAGGGGTTGATAGGTTTTTTGGGTTTTTTTCAGATGGTTCACAGAATAGGTTTCTAATCTGGTTCTCAAGGGAAAAGATTTCCGGCCATCTATATTATGGATATTCTCAGGAAATTCTTCCCATTGTCAGGAATAATTCTTTTGAGTATTACCATCTTTAGTACGATATAGTCAATAACACATCAAAGTTAGGGTATATTTTTTCCCAAATAGTATCTTTGCGCACACACCTTTAAAAAATGATTAGCCTTTGGACAGAAGTGTAAAATTATTCTTTAGAACTTTGTGCCTTCTCTCTGGACACAAAGTAATGCTTTCACTAATGCATTATATTGTATGTGTGTATGAGAGAAATCGTATAAACTAAGATAGAATAATTTTCAGGATAGTATATACTATGACAAGTTAAAATTTTTTGACATCAGAGCATTTCAAAAGAAAAGCAGTTTTAAGAAACGTTATGCTCTCTGCCCACCTTGTGTGTGTGAACACACGTGCACACGCTTGTTTTTTCATTGTATTAATGTGATTGTATGGGAATTTCTGGTTTGATGAGGTTTTCACACAGTCCAGCACGTGGGAACAGCAAGAACATTTACTATCCCCCTGTTACAGACTGAATATTCGTGTTTCCCCCAAATTCATATGTTGATAACTCTGATCCTCAGTCAGTGTAGTATTTGGAGGTGGGGTATTCAGGAGGTAAATAGGATTAGATGAGGTCATGAGGGTAATGGTGGATAATTATGGGTAATCCCATGATGGGGTTATTGTCTTTCTAAGAAGGGGCAAAGAGGAGGAATGGGAAGGCAGCCATCTATGAGCCAGGAGGAGGGCCCCCACCTAGAATCCAATCTGCCAACGCCTTGATCTTGGACTTCCCAGTCTCTAGAACTAGGAGAAATAGATGTCTGTTTTTCAAACCATCCAGTATGTGATATTTTGTTATAGCAGCCAAGCTAAGACACACTGGAAGTCCAAAGTTTACATTAGGGTTCGCTCTTGGTGATATACATTCTACGAGTTTAGACATACGTGTAACAGCATGTAACTTCCATTATAGTAGCATATAAAATCATTTCACTGCCCTAAAATTGGTCTGTGCTCTGTTCATTCATTTCTCCCTCCCCACTAACCCCTGGCAACCACATCTTTTTACTCCATAGTTTTGCCTTTTCCACAGTCATATAGTTGGAATCATACAGTATGTAGCCTTTCCAAGTTGGCGTTTTTCAGTAGCAATAAGCATTTAAATTTCCTCTGTACGTTTTCAGGGCTTGAAAAGATAGCTCCTTTCTTTTTAGCAGTGAATGATATCCCGTTGTCTGGATGTGCCAGAATAATTCTTTTAGGATTTTCTACATAGGTAATTACTAGTAAGGACAATCCAGTATGGTGTTGGAAAGTAGTTGTGAGAGGAGACATTGTTTCATTGTTCCAATCTTAGTAGGAACACTTTGAGTTTCTCACCACTAAGTATGATGGGAACTGTAGGTTTTTGTAGTTGTTCTTTTTCAAGTTGAGGAAGTTTCTCTCTATTCCTAGTTTGCTGAGAATTTTTGTAAAGATTTTATTTTTATTTATTAGAGAGAGAGGAGAGCAAGAGTGGGAGTGGAGTAGAGGGAGAGGGACAAGCGGACTCCACACAGAACATGGAGCCTATAACCTGAGCTGAAACTGAGTCAGACACCCAACCGACTGAATCACCCAGCTGCCCCTTGCCAACAGTTTTTATCCTGAATAGGAGTTAAATAATTTTTCGCCTCTATTGATAGGATCATTTGCTTTTTCTTTAGCTTACTGATATGGTGGATTCCATTAGCTGCTTTTTCAGTGTTGAACAGCTTTACATATTGGGGATAAGTCTTACTTGATCATGGCATATCTTTTTTAAATATTTGGATTTGATTTACTAATATTTTGGTGAAGATTTTTGCATCTATGCTCATGAGCAATATTGGCCTGTCCTTTTCTTGTGATGTCTGTGTCTGGTTTTAATATTAGGGTAATGTGGGGCACCTGGGTGGCTCAGGTCATGGATCCCAGGGTCCCAGCTGAGCGGGAAGCCTGCTTCTCCCTTTCCCACTTCCCCCTGCTTGTATTCCCTCTCTCGCTGTCAAATAAATAAAACCTTAAAAAATATAATAGGGCAATGCTGGCCTCAGAATGGGTTAGGAATGTATTCTCTCTGCTTCTATCTTATTAAATAGATTGTAGAAAATTGATACCCGTTCTTTAAATGTTTATTAGAATTTACCAGTGAACCCATGTGGGCCTGTTGTTTTCAGTTTTGGTACGTTATTATTGATTCAATTTCTTTAATAGACCTAGGCTTATTCAGATTGTCTATGTTTTATGTGAGTTTTGGCAGGTTGTGTCTTTCAAGGACACAACCATTTCATCTAGGTTATCAAATACAGGGGCAGAGTTGTTCATAATATCTCTTTACTATCCTTTTAATGTTCATGGGAGCTGCAGTGCTGTCCCCTATTTCATATCTGACATTAGAATTTATGTCTTTTCTCTTTTTTTCCTTAGTTAGCCTGGCTAAGTGGCTTATTGATTTTATTGATTTTTTCAAAGAACCAGCTTTTCGTCTTCTCTGCTTATTTCTTAATTTTTACTGATACAGCTCTAAATTTTTACTATTTTCTTCCACTTGGATTTAATTTGCTCTTCTTTGGTTTCCTAAGATGGAAACTTAGATGATTGGTTTTAGATCTTTCTTCTTTTCTAATATATGCATTCAGTGCTATAAATTT